GTATAATGTCTTGTGACGTCCACGGCCTACCCCAGTTACCACTACTGTGCATGTGTGTCAAGGACAGAAAGGCAGATGTGGCAGTGGAAGGTGTCAAAGCAGTTTGGAGAGAAAAACAAAATAAAGAACAAAAAAAAGAGAGAAAACTATTAATCGATTATTAAATTAGTCATCGATTATTTTAATAATCGATTAGTCGTCGATTAATCGATTAATCGTTGCAGCCCTACTCACAACAGACAATTTAGCTAAGAAACTACTTTTAAATTATTAGCTAACTTGTCACAAATATCGAAGTTATAACTTCTTTATGAAACTATGAAAAATATCAAAGATAACATAGATTGATGGACATAATTGTGTCTTTTGAGCAACAAGAATATTCCCAGAAAATTTTCAACTGAAGGATAATGCCTTTCTCAGGTCCCGTGTTAGGTCTTTGCTGGAATTTTCCCTTTTTCTTAAAGATTTGACTTTAAGAAGTTGCTCATTTCTTGTGAAAGATTTTTATAGGTTTGACATTTTTTCGTTTGTCACTGACTTCCTCATTTGGAATCAAATACTGCTCAGTGTGCTGAACAGAAAACAGAACTGTTGATTAGGGCCGCTTTAAAAGACAATTTGTCTCTTCAGGAGCAAAGGATAGGAAATTAGGGAGAGGTTTTGTGCATTGTAGTTGTGAAATGTTTCACCAAACTGTACCCTTTCTCTTTTATCAAAGCCTTACACTTGCATTTCTCTTACGTTTCAGCATGGCCTGCAGGAACCTCGTTCAAACCGATATGGGGATAAGGTTGCGAATCCCGCTGCAGAAGCTCCACCCTATGTCTTGTGCCATCCACCATCGCTATTCGGGAAACTCTAACCCTCACCGACCTCCTCATCGTACAGCAGCTCGATATTTTACCTCTATGTCTCGGTTGCCCATGCGGCCTTCAAAACCACCTCCAGGATCAGGTGGCCATAACTACCAACAGCAGCGCAACTTTTGGGTGGCTCGCCTGGCGGCCCGGCTGCTAAAGCTCAGATACATTTTGCTGGGTTCGGCGGTGGGAGGAGGGTACACAGCTAAGAAGGTCAGTATTCATTTTTTAAAATTATTATTATTATTGTGTTGCAACATTATTTTTGAGCGATAAGATTATTTTCCTCTCCAGTGATATGCAGTGCAGTGTGGATGTAATAGCACATGAGTTCTTGTTAGAAACGTAAACACACCTTCAAATAATTTTGTCATTTTATCTCCAGACCTATGAAGAGTGGAAGGACATGCTGCCTGATTTTAGTCAATATAACTGGGCTGTTCCAGATTTTGTTTGGAAACTGAGTGAACAAATTGATCTTGGTAAGTATTTTTTTTTACGTTTCACTTTCTGTCTTACATTGTATTTTAGTCTGTTTCTCTGCAATAATATCATCAGAAAAGACAACCTCTGAATATTGTGTGTGCTTAAAGTTATGAGTTTCATTTTACCACCTGTGTTACCAAAGTAGTTATCTTGGGTTGTGTGTTTTGCATGAAACAGTTGCAACTCAAACCACAGTACAGCTGCATTAACCTTACAGTAGCACGATTAAACTTTCAATCTTCAGCTTCATTTATTGGCAATATGTCACAGACAATTAAAATGTAGTATTTACCTGTTTTTGTATTTACATGTGACTGATGTTCTAGTAGGTAAATGTTCCTAGATACAATGTTCAAATTATAACACCCATGCATTACATAAAATTCTGTATATTCATGTTACATACACGGCAACTCATTGATGCACATACACATGCCTCTAACAGTGTTCATGTAAAACTGTAGTGTAAAACCCCAAAGTGTTTTACACTACCATCATTTACCCATTTACACACGCATTCACACACTGATGGTGATAAGCTACATTGTAGCCACAGCTGCCATGGGGAACACTGTGACAGAGGCGGGACTCCATGCACCGGCGCCACTGGACCCTCAGACCACCATCAGTAGAGTAGAGTAGAGTAGAATAGAATAGAATAGAAACAGTCTTTATTTTCCCACACAGGGAAATTCAGGTGTAATAGCAGCAGCAGCAGATATGTACATCAATCCACAGAAACAGTATATTGCTGTGTGACATTATCAACTGTAACAACAATAACGATAGTAACAATAAAAAATAAACATAAATCAAAATAAAAATAAGAATAATAGTTACTATACTGGACTATCAAGATGAAATTAGATTAAAAAAAGCAAGATACTGTGCAGAAAAATATAAAATTACAGGAAAAAATAGTCATGGCAGACTCATAATCCGAGGGGGGGGGGGGGGGGGGGGGGTGCAAAATGAGTCGAACTCAGTCATTAAGTCAGTGTTCCAGTACAGGAAAAACGATGTACAATTGCCACTGGTTATTATTTATGTAGTGATTGAGAGGTAGAGTTGTTTGGTGTGCAAACACAAACAAGTAGGAGAGGCGGGTGAAGTGTCTTGCCCAAGGACACAACAATTGAGACGACTGGAAGGGGGGGGGGATCGAACTTGTAACCCTTCGGTGACAGGACACCATTATTTGTTTGCTTTACAGAAAAACTGGCGAAAGCTCTACCAGAAAGGGAAGAAATTGCCAAACTCCTCCCAGACTTTGACAAAATAGGAGAGAACTTCTCGTTCCTGAAAAGCCTTCTTTCCTCTGGTGAGTAAATAACAGATCGGTTTAGAAAGTTAACACAGGATGACGATCACAGCAGTTTCACAAAAGAAAACCTGGTTTTGACATTTTATTCTTTACCGCCTTTGCACCCGTACTATCATACAATTATTGTATTTCATTTTATATCTCCTACTTTAATCCAGAGATATGAATGACGTGAAGCGCTCTCAGATTTACAATGGGCTTTAGTAGCTTAAGTTTTACTAATAACGTGTTTAGATTTAACAAAATAAATGTTACTCTGTCTTACTGTTAGAATGATTTTTGATGCTAATTATTTTTATCACATTTATGTTAAAATTATAACTCATTACATTCACTTTGTAATAATGTGTTTATTTTTTTTCTGACTATATTTTACTACACAAGTTTATTTCTTTTTGATCATCGTACTTCAGGTTTCTTGTCTAAAAGCTTTTGCTAGAATTTACTGGATCTCAGAGGAACTGTTATACGGAAGTATTCTGTTAAAATTTAACATCAATAAACAAATGAATTATCGATATATATGGCAAGTTTCTGACTATTAAAAAAAAGCATTTTATAAAATAATTTCTTTTGATTGGCTTTTACACAATGTCTAATAAAGGATCAGACCCAGTTTAGGGTTCATTCACCTCTTAGTTTCTTCATGAAGTGATTTTCTCAGTTAAAGCTTTGGCTCGGCTACAACTCKTCATGTCCCTGGTTTGACCGCCATCCCTCTGCTTCTGTCTTTCATGATTTTTATCTTGTGTTCTTCCTTTCTCCTCCTCCCCTGCCCTCCTCCACATTCTTCACAGGCGTGGGTTTGGGTAGTGAAGTCAAAGGAGCCTRGGGTCTGCATCTGTTGTTAGGTGTGTAAACTCGGTGGGACAGCCAGCTCCGCCTCTTTTTTTTCCTCTCTGTCGCTCTTTGACCACTTTTCTATCGATGCGTTGAAGTTATGCTAATTTGGATGGAGGTTTGCTGCCAATTTATGCAGATAAGTTTTTATTATTTTTCTGACTTTCATCAGTAAAGGCCTCAAAATTCTTTTTCTTTTTTTTTTTTTGGATTTCAGGCAGGACGTTAAGGCTTAGCATTTTTTGATCCACAAATTTGAAGTGTTTGTAGTGATCTGTTGTCTGTCTGTAGTAAGAAGCCCGTCCTTTCTTTCCTTTCTTTTTTAATTTTTTTTTACTTTGCCTCTGACTTTATCATATTTAAGTGACGTTTGCCTCCTTTGACTTCCACCCTCTCACTCACCTGGCCTCTAAGGGTCTTTTCTCTAATTAAAATCTCGTTGCTAACTTTTTAGAAAATCTCATTCTGCCTCTGGTTCTACTACGCCCTGAGCTTTTTTTTTTTTTTCTTTCTTGTTCATACGCATTTTAAATAATTTCCTACCGTAACAATTTATTTTTTGCTTTTCATGTTTCCTCTGTTAGACCCTTCAGGCAATCCTGCACTAAGAGCAACCGACTCTTCAACCGCAGCCTCACACGATGCCAGCGACAAGCAACACAAGAAGGCAAGTTTACGAAACTTGTTGCCACCTCTCTGCTTTTCGTGCTTTCTGTGTCACCACAGCTCTTGTTTACATCCAGCTCCAGTTGGCAGTTTGGCAGCTTTTCACTTCCAAAGCAAAATAATGTAATCAAAGTATCCTCGAGTTTGTTTTGTTCAACGAAAATCAAAGAAATTAAGTTTGAAACTGTTTAAAATTTTTTACATCTTGGTAACAGGCATAAATATTAAAAAGGTTTGAACAAAATAAACTCTACATAGTGTTTGTGGGTCCTTTTGATTAACCAGCTCTCCTAAATGTAAAACGCTTTGCTTTGTTTTATTTTTTATTACCTAAATTACCAATAAATTTTAAAACAAAGCAGCTTAAGGAACTTTTGCAACCTGTACGTTGCTCAAAGTGACGTTCACACACTGATGAGGTGTTTTATTGTTGCTTGCCACTTGTTATGCTTTTGAATGTCTTTTTTTCTAGCAAAAAGGCCCATGTATGGACATATATTTATGTTCATATTTGACTTTTTCTTTTCTTTCCATCTTAAACAGTTAAAGTGTCTCAATGTTTTTATGTCTTTTCAGTGTTTTTGTCATGGTACAAAGTTTAGAAACCAACATAACCAGTGAATAATCAGAAGAGGAGCTTTTAAGCAACTAACTTTTCTTTCTTACGCTCTGCTTTTACCCTTAAATCATGGTCTCCAACATGACGACAACATGACCTTCACAGTTATTTGTTCATATTAAACCACTTTTATTTGATTATATCAACAAGTGAAAAAGGCACAAAATTAAAACAACAGTTTTGTCATGTTGATCTATTGAAATAAGTCAGATTTCTCCTGCTTTGTGCTTCAAGCTGATTGATTCTAAGGCTTTGTTGTTGTTTTTTTTTTTTGCTTATATAAGCTTCATCAGACGAGTTATTAAAATCTGTCTAACGTTGCAGAACATTGAATATTTGTGTTCTACATTAAAACAGGAATTTCCATTGAAGTTTTATAAATTCTGTTAGAAGTCAGGTCAGAGTTATGGTTATCGTACAGGGATTAAATCACAGCGAAACATAATGTTGAGCAAACAATGTAGAGTTACTGTTGATGCCGCTTGCTGAGAGGCACTTATTGTTGTATTATTTGTCTCCTCTGCCTTCAGTCTGACAAATTTGTTTTCGTGACAGACTTTGTTTGGGTACACTGATGATAGCGGCAAGATTATCTAAAAGACAGACCTCCATTCTTTCGAACCTGGACTCAAATCCAGTTTTTCTCTTCTTTTTTTCTACCTGAACAACACCAGCGCCAGTTTCCCAGACCAAGTTGGGGTACAGAATTTTACGGAGCCCGTCCAGTGACATAGGATTAAAAAAAAATTAATTGCGTGGCCAGAAGATAATACTTACTGATAATTACTGCAGTCATTTACATGAAGAGACTGTTGATTATTTATATGCTCAAGTCTGAATGAATTGACTTTAATTCAGTCACTTTCAGACATGAAGTAATTCTTATCTCTATATGTTTCAGTTATAAGACAGAGGTGACGACTGAAGTTGCATTTATCCAAAAGCTTTACTTTTTTTAATTGAAGCTCAACACTCAAAGCAGGCTCCTCTCTCACACCGTGCCTTTGCTCCAGGTGTTGGAATTGTGTTGTGTTTAGGAACACAGTAAAAAATCAGTTCTCCGACACACACTTGTCGTGTTCATTTTCATCTCATAAATAGCCAGAGTTTGGTAGTAACTAGTTACATTTACTGCGTTACATTTACTTGAGTAACTTTTTGGAAGAAAATGTACTTTTAGGAGTACTTTTACTATGCTGTACTTTTTACTTTCACTTGAGTAATTTTAATTTTTACTCTTACTGGAGTGTATCTGGATACTCTACCCCAGGGGTCACCAATACGGTGCCAGTGGGCGAGACTTTCTGAGTCGCCCGCACGACACCTTCTAAAAATAGCACTGATCGACTGACCGAGAAGCAGAGCTCTGAACGTTAAACAATGGAACCAAAAGTCACCCGTGTGCTCTTTTGAGCTTTTATTAACAAAACACTTTCTAAAGAATGTCAACAAGAGCTGCTGTTAAAGCCACATCTCCCYTTAAACCCCTTTAAACACAAGAAACTATCAAAAAGTTCTCTCCTGCGTCTATCTCCGAGTTCCTCTGCAGACTGCAGCTCCTCACAGACACACACTTAACTCCACCCCAACACCCACCTTTTGGAAAATTAACCCTTAGAGCACAGATATTCACTTTGTTTACCTCTGGTTAGAGGGGAAAAGAGCATTAAAACGTAGAACAAATTTTCACAATGATTGGGAGAATTTTTTTCTTTACTTGTTTTTTATATTACATAACTGTTATTTTGTATCTACAAGAGTTTGTAGGAGTGATGAGCACAAAGGTCATGAGTTAATTGTTTTACTGGTAAAAGTTTCTTTTAAAAAATGGAAAAGAAGTTACCATTTTCTTAAAGAAATAGACTACGTATTTTAAATAAATGTTACAAATGTGTTCATTCCTACAAGCTGCCAAATAGTTTTATCATTTTATTTTTTACATTTACAAAATACACACAAAATTTAAAATGTTAATAAATGCAATTAAATAAAAATGTTTTATGTTTAATCTACCACAGTAAATTATGATTACCATGAAGAGTCTTCAGCATTGAGATTTAATCAGGGAGACAAACGTATAAACGTATAAATTTATTATAAGTAAWACTATAATTAAAGGTGAGCCATTCAAATTTATGTTTGTATCAAGTAGCCCTTCGTGTTACTCGGTACCCCCGAAGTAGCTRTTAGTCTCAAAGGAGGAATGGTCTCAAAATGGAGGACCTCATTTTAGCTTGTTTGTCGCACTAGCACCGACCTAATACAGTATATATAAGGCAATATAGCGTCAGTGCTAGCACAAAAGACTAACAGGCTAAGCTGAGGTTCTTCTTCCATCAAGCAGCTCTGTTGTCCTCCATCCATATTTTCAGTTACAGACTGAGTCATTTCTACCTTCTCCTCTCTGTCAACGCTCTCTGGTTTCATTTAAAAGAGCCGATCGTCAGATATTGTCCAAGATTAACCTTCAGGGTGGATATAGCTTGCTAGCAGCCTTGCACAGATGACCTACCCACGTCATCATTTACCCAGAATGCTTTGTGTCTAAATAAAATGTCTCCATCCGTGTTAAAATATATATTTTTAAAAATGTACAAAACTAAACAMCCTACAGTATTTTTACAGTCTTTATTTTACAMTTAAAATATATGTTTATCAAATAAAGTCTAATGTTACAACTAATCAGGGATCCCTTTAAAATACCAACATTTCAACATAGCTTTATAATTGAGTCTGTCTAATGATGTAATTCTTAACTATTAAATGATTGATGTTTTGCTCAGTTACTCAGCACTTGAGTAGCCTTTTTACACTACTCAAGTACTACTACAAGTAATACTACTACTTTTTTACTCTTACTCAAGCCATTTCTTAGATGGCTGCTTTTTACTTTTACTTGAGTAAAAATATGTTGAAGTAGTGCTACTCTTGCTTGAGTACAATTTTTGGGTACTCTACCCATCTCAGTAAATAGTCTACTATGTAAGATGAATTGTTTATATTAACATCACATAATAATAATAATAATAATAATGATAATGATGATGATGATGATAATGATGATAATAATAATAATAATAATAAATTTCATAAGTGTGGGGTAGGCTACATTTGCACACGTCAAAGCAAACACAACATATTCGAAATCTGACTCCAGCAATGTCTGTAGCCTATCACTCACAAAGAGACATGCTACACAAAATTATTTTGTGGCCACGCGGTATTTATCTTGTGGCCATGAGATATTTCTTTTTATCCAGTGTCACCGGATGGGCACCGTAGAATTGGCCTGCATGGGTTTTCTGGTCCTTTTTATTTTCTTTCTTTTTTATTTATTTTATTTTTTTATTTTATTTATTTTTTTGCTCCTCCTTCCACTTTCTGACTATGACATACCCCAGCAGGATCTGCTCGGGGAGCTCATTCTTATTCAGCAGCAGATCCAGCAGCACGAGGAGGAGGTCCGGCGAGCGGCTGCAGCCAATAGTGCGCGTTCGCCACCCCAAGATCCTGCTCCACAGACACGCAAGGTGAAGGTCCCACCCAACTTAGAGCCGCCCCATTCCACCAACAGTTCCTGAAACATCACAACTAAAAAAAGTCCCAGAGCAGGACTTTATATGTTTTAGCAGTTTAATTTTTATGTTGCCATCTTTTTAGCATGCGGGGTGGTAGCTTAGCAAAAGGAAATTATCTTCAACTAAATTAAAACTTGTTTTTAAATTTGTTCTTGTAGTTAAGSTTGCGTTAATTTACTTTTTTACGTGGGAAAGAATGCCTAAATGTTTGCCTGATGTTTAATCATAGGCAAAACAAATGTAGAAATTCTGGAAGGATAAACTTTTTTGTTGARGCTACAAGAGGGCTACAGAGCGCTGCACCCTTACTCAAATGTGATAAAACTGACATATTTCATGCTCAAATGCTCACGCCATGTTGTACTTCTGTTTAATATGAYTTCAAAACTTTTGTGGCAAACCAAAAATAAATACCTATGTTAGCGAGCTGAAGTGCAATGGCATAAGACGCYTTGAGTGCAGACTCCTGCATGGTTGRGGTTCTGGTYAAAACCTTTTGCTTTTGTTCATATACCTTCGACCTCAGTTAACTTCTCATATTTAGCTTTGTGCAACGGGTTGTAGTGGAGACTTATATTAAAATCCTTCATGGCATACATCATCTCAAAGGTTTGCCTTGAAATTCTCTGAACAGATAGTCTACCTCACAAAAATAATGGCAAAAGGGCAGGACCTTATTTGTGGGCCACCAGTTGCCCATCCCTGACCTGTAMTATATATAAAGAAAATTCTTGTTTGAGCCTTACAAGAAGACTTTCTGTAATGCATTAATCTTGTTTAAATTCATACATATTTTGGTCCACATTTGGTTAAAAAAAAGAATACTAACTAGATTTTAATCTATAATAAGACTATTTTAGTAAAGATATAGAAGCTAATTTATTTATTTACATCATTATCCAACAACATCCAGAAGTAGTCTCCAAGTTTTGTCAGTCGTKTGTGAGGAAACAAGCTCTTGAAGCTAATTTTAATGAAAAATAGTGACCAGCTCAGCTTCACTCTGTTTTAAAAGTGATCATCAGCAGTCCTCTAATAAAGCTTGTTAACACGGCTTGGAGTGAAGTGATAAACGGATGCATGGGGTGAACTGCACTTTCTGAAACTAACTGGAATAAATCTAACTGTTGGTATTTATAAAAACGTCTAATATTTATATAAATTAATTATTTGGCAGCACAATGTATGGGTGGTTAGCACTGTTGCAAGAAGGTCCTGGATTTAAGCCCCAGTTTGGACCTGGACTCTGTCTGTGTGGAGTTTGCATGTTTTTGTRGTGTTTGCGTGGGATTACTTGTGGTTCTCCAGTTTCTTCCCACCATCCAAAATCATGCATGTTTAGACTGCCTTCAGGTCCAGGCCTGGATTTGTGATCTCAGTGGGATTTGTCTGTTTAAAGGCACAGTGTGTAGGATTTGTTGTTTTCAGCGACATCTAGTGGTTGAGTGGCTGAATCATCCTCCCTAGTCC